CACTCATCCAGTCTGTTGAAAATGGTTGCAGGGGAAAGCTCTCCCACAATTTGTCACCATAGAGCATATGGAATAGCAGGTGTACAGCTAAATGGTTAAGGACTTGGGCTTTGGGTTTGAGTCCAGTTCTGCCATTTATGAATCTTGTTATGTACAATCTCTGTAACCTTGTTCACCTGTAATACGGGGAGAGGAGACTGCCTACCTCACGTGGGTATCATGAGGGTTGGATATGCGAATACATGAAAAGTGCTGAGTGCAATGCTTGGAACACAGAAAGAACTGGTTAGTGGTAATATCAGTGTTGTCAGTAAAATACTGAACAGGGTGCGGCGGGCGGGGGGGGCCCTGGGTGGCTCAGTCGGTTAAGCGTCTGCCTTCGGCTCAGGTCATGATCCCAGGGTCCTGGGATCAAGTCCCACATCGGGCTCCCTGATCAGTGGGGACTCTGACTCTCCCTCTGACCCCCCCATTGTGTGTGCATGCTCTTTCTCTCTCAAGTAAATAAATAAAATCTTTAAAAAATAAAAGTAAAATGCCAAACCAGGTGCCAGGCTTACAGAAGCCTTGCAGGAGCTCATGGTCCATTCTCTCTTTTTATGTCTGCCCCATCAGCTCTGGAGAATTTTTCTGCTCTGTGCTTGTTAACTCACCTGTCATTTATCTTCTTCAAAATGGGTTAGTAATCTTCATCCCATTAGAAAGTTGTTTTTTTTTTTTAATAGGAGAATAAATGGAGGATAGGAAGGTTCATTAGCTGTTTGTTAAGCTTCAAGCAAATAAAGGGTATAATAACTGTGCTTTGTGGAAGTGGTTTATTTCATTCTCAGGGGTGTCAGATTGAAAGCTTACCAGGACATTGCTTATGAGGCTCAGAAAGGTTAAGTACCTTCTCCAAGGTAACCCAGCTAGTAAGAGATAAAATATGATTTTGAGCCCAAGTCTGGCTTTAGAACTCATGCAAGTGACATCATTTCCCAGGCCTTGGTTTCCTGGTGCTTAAATTGAGGAAGGCCTCCCAAAATGAAACCAAACAAAATGAGGATGCCCCTTTCAGAGGCTTGCTTAGAGGCTGAAATCCTAGATGTTAATGAAGGTCAAGTGTCAAGCACTTGGCCTGGTGCAGAGGAGGCCCTCCTTTGACGTGGGGTTTTGTCTCTTCCCTGTCCTGTGTGAACTTAAATAGGGGTTTGCTTAGTCTCATGATGCAACTCCTAGGAACCTGGCAGATAATAAATTTGGGTGAGACAAGGACCACAAATCTCATCTAAAGAGGGAGCTGCTGGTCCCCACCCTAGCCCAATGTTGCCATGGGGGAAATCCAACCCAGTGTTTCCAAATCCTACCATCTCAATTTTTCTTAAGTGGCATCTTCTGATTTCTGAGATCATCAAAACAAAAATTTATTCATAACAAAATACATCAACCACCTTTCAACCTCTGATTTAAGTAAGTGACAAGGGCAGGCCTTTCTATCGCTAGTGGTAGTCAAATCAGTACTCTGGCCTCCCAGAGAAACCATCCTCCCACAGAGGAAAGGGTTTGGTGAATACAGAGCACGATGTGCCAATGTGGGCTTAAAACTGTAGCATTTTTTCCCCCTCCAGTTCACCTGCACTGCCCTTCTCTAGCTTGTTCTGTATGGTCTCTTATCACTTCACATACTGAGACGTGTGTTCAGTTCTCCCCACCAAATGTCAGCCTTTCTCCTGGCTGTTATATTTGTGGATGGTGCATCCATGATTATGACTAGATGACTTTACCATATTAATGACATCATCTGGGGAGTCCGTCCTTTGGAAACCTTTCGTTCTGATTTAGGTGTAGATACCTGTGGTATCTGGGACGCCGGGCTGGCTCAGTTGATCAAGAATCTGATGTTTGATTTCAGCTCAGGTCATGATCTCAGGGTCCTGGGATTGAGCTCTGCGAGGGGCTCCGCACTCAGTGGGGAGTCTGCTTGAGATTCGCTCTCTCCCTCTCTCTCTGCCCCCCCCCAAAAGATACCTATGGTATCTTAGGAAGACACTTTTAGTTGCAAGAAGCAGAATCCAACTCAAGGTAGTTTCAGAAAGAAAAAAAAGTGGATTTATTAAAGGAACACAAGGGTGTTTCATGGAACGAAAGAGCAAGAATTCACCCAAACCAGTGGAAGTGACTACAAGTGACTAGAATGACATTAGGAACCTGGACAGCAACTCTCTCGAGCTTTCCCTTGCAGGTTGCATGATTTCTCTTGCCTCTTTCCAGCTACTTGTGTCCTCCATTCTCTCTGCAGTTGGCTTTCCTTTTTGTCCACACACAGCGGAGAAGAGCTGTCCTTACCCAACTGCTTTCTCATCTTCTCAGCCTCAATTCCAGATTCCCTGGACTGAGGATATGATTGGCTCAGCTTGAATCAGGTGTCTGTTCCCTGGTCCAATCAGCTGAAGCCTGAAGCGGAAGTGGTAGGACCAAGTTGTACAAACATGGCCGCCACTGCCTGTGTTTGTCCTGAGGTGGGCAGACACACCAGAAAAACATTTGCTACTTAATTCCCCGGGGTAGAATGGGGTGTTGACAAAAGGATATTCGACGGGTCCGAGCAAAGTACGGTGGGAAGGAAAAAAGACGCTTTTTGAAAATCAGGAAATAAATTCATTTGGATTATGCAACAATGGAGTAACTTGAAATATTTTATGAGTTTTGACATATTCCTTAATGGACTCATGTTGTGTCAGTTGGTCTTCTGAGTATTATTTTGTCTTACCATAATACATGTATTTGGGGTCTGTTTGTGTGGGTTTTACAAGAGAAGTAAAGTGATTTGAACTGACGCATTTCTTTCTTTCTTCCCATAGAATAGAACAGTAGAAAAAAAGATGACTTTGTTGTTGTTGTTCAGTTAGAACTTAATTTAAATCTTGACTTGGCTTTTTTCTTGCTCAGATAACTCTGGATAAATTACTTTAAACTCTGTACCTCGGTTTCATTGTCTGTAAAATGGGGATGTTGTCATAGAGATTTTTTGTGGAGTTTTAATGAAATAATGTACGTACATTGTCCAGCTTAGTACCTGGAACAAATCAATATTCGTTCCCTTTCTCTTCGTCACCAAAAGTGTGTATTTCACCTCGGCTTTGCGGAGTTAAGGACATAATAAGGAGCCATGGGACAAGGTAAAGCTTGCCCACTCACCTCTTCACATTTCCTCAGTGGTTTCAATGGACCACATCTCCATAATACCGTGATCTAACCAACTGAGCTAGTTTTCAGACCTTTAAGGCAGAGTTTAATAAAAAATGTAAATGCAGTAATTAGTATTTTTCACACAGAGAACATTGCTTATCCCACTCTGAGCCTCAATTTCCCCATCTGTTAAATTGGAGATAGTATCAGCAGTCCCACATGGTGACCGTGCAGCTCAGAGACGATATCTATAAAACACCTGGAACAGTTAGAAGTCTATAGCTGGTGCTTCATAATGGAGTGATTTTCTCTTTAAATTGGGTTTAAATATATCTGAGTTTCCAGCTCTTATAGTTTGATACAGCAGCTGAGAGAGAAAATGCTGCCCATCCTTTTTCAAAGTGACCCAGAAGTTCCTCATCCATGGGCAAAGTTGGGTATGCATTGTTCACCATGATGTTGCTTAGAATAGCAAAAGACTGGAGGCCATCTAAGTGTCTCTCAGCAGGAGACTCATTAAACTATTACATGTCCACACAATTACTTGTTACTTTAGAACCTTTAAAAAGAATGCAGTTGGTCTATATGTGTTGGCATTGGAAAGATCACCAAGAAATAGCTTAGTTACACTTGAGTTGGGGGGAAAAAAAAATATATATATATATATGTATATATATGTACACACATATATATGTATATATGTCATGTATGTGTGTTTGTATATACATATAGCATCACAGTACACACACCCCATAAACACAGAGTCATATATAAAATTTCTGGATGATTATATACACACAAACACACACACAAATATTAATACTTCATTTGCAAAACAATATGTCCAATAACATTGCAAAGCAAACCATTTAATATGAAGTTTTTTGAAAATATGTACACATATATATCTGAAAATATGAACACATATATATATGTACACATATATATCTCAAACTGTAAAAACAGTTTGAGCTGATTCTCCTCAAACTGACAGAGTGGTGATTTCTGCAGATAAAATGATTTGGAGCATGAGTTAATTAAGGGGGCTCTTTGTATTCTGTGCATTGTTTAAATATTTTACAGGGGGGCCTGGCTGGCTCTGTCTGTAGAGCATGCGACTCTTGATCTTGGGGTCATGAGTTCAAGCCCCACATTGGGTGTGGAGCCTACTTAAAAAATAAAATGAAATAAAATAAAAAATAAGTAAATAAATAAATATTTTACAAAGAATATTTCCCAGTATTGCAGTTATAAGTGGTAAAAAAGTAAATATAACTGGAAATTTATACTGACGTGTACTGTTCTTAACTATATATCTTAACTGTTCTTAATTACGGTAGTGATGTTCTATAAAGAGGACAGACATTTCAAAGATGGAGACTTTCAATTTTAACTCTAATGTCATAGTTCTCCTTTATAATTATGAATGTATTATATTTATTTAAATACATCAGTGAATATAGGCATTTTCATTTGAAAAATTCAATATTGATTCAATGAAAAATATAGCAGTTTCCTCCGGGAAGGAAACCAGCTTTTCATAGTATAATCTTGTGTGCACTATTATAGACATAATTTTTTCAACATATTGAGTTGTCTTTGCTTTTCATTCTTTTCTTCTTTTAAATCCAAGAGCAAATTAATTCATTGATTGATGAATTCAAGAGCTAATGACAAAGAGTAAGTCTGTTTATGATCAAGGCTGTTGAGTAACTCAACTGAAGCCGTTTTTAGCCTGAACACATCACATGTAAACTAAACTATACATCAAGTTCAAGGGTCTGCTTGCCCATGCTAGCCATGATGCCACTCTTGCTTTCTTGTCCCCACAGATGACAGAAGGCAGGCACTGCCAGGTACACCTCCTGGATGATCGGAGACTGGAGCTGCTGGTTCAGGTGGGTGTTGCCCGTACAGAGACAGCCTTTACTGGTTCCCTCTGTGAGCCTCCAGGCCTGTGGTCAGGCTACTCGCTTATATGTGCCAACGACTTGGGATTGTTTGAGGGGCAAAAGAACAGCTTCCAAGTCAGACAACTTGGTCTATGTGTAAGAGTAGTTATGGTCTGGGGACATGGATTTGAGACCCTTGGGTTCCCATCTCAGTTATGACACTCAGTAGCTGTGTGACCCCCAGGAAGTGACTTGACTTCTCTGAACCTCTTGTTGGTAAGCTGGACACCATAATGCTTCCCTGAAAGGATTATTGTGAGCTGCAAATCTGCATCCTGCCACTTTCTTGCTACATGACATTGTCCAAGTTAAATACCCAGCATCATCAGCTGTGAACTGGGATGGAGAAGGCTTAGTGTTCCTCATAGAATTATGGCTAAAATCAAGCTAGTTTATATATGTGAACAAAATCCTTTTGTAAACTATATGGAGTGTATGAGTGGTGGTATTTTAATTGTTGATCCTTTTCTCTTTATTTACCCAACACTGTGGACCAAGGACCTTTAAAAATTGTGGAAATCCCCTCTGATAACCACAACTGTAACTACAGCTAGAACTCTCTCCTTTGACCAAACCTAAAGTCTTCTGAGGCTCCTTTCTCACCCATTATGCACAGGCTTCAATTAGAATGAAAATAGCACAGTCAACACTGTTTCACCAGAGTAGACCTCTTAGTCCAGATTTCTGCCTGTTTCTTTCTTTCTTCTTTTCTTTTAAATCATGACCATCCTTCTTCCCTAACAGCAAACATCCAACTCTCAAAGCACCATAATGAGCCCTAAATTGTTTGGCTCTAAGTTCAAAAAGAGCCCATGCAAATGCCTTCCTGCATATGCCCCTTTTCTTCCTGAGTCCCTGTAAATCAGGTGTCCACTGTCACTTTGGATGTTCCCCCTGATTCCAAACCATGCTCCTTGCCACCCATCCGGTGCTTCTCAAAAGCTCATAGATTAGATCCTTTTTCTAAGTGCTTAGTAAACACTGGTGACGATCATCTATACAATGGGTAAAATCACTCTAGTTCTAGAGAGAAATGAAAGGCTTAGGCTTTGGAATCAGACAGAACTGGGTTCAATTCCCTGCCCTTATGGACTGGAACATCAAGCCAGGCATTTAGTTTCTTTTAACTTTGGTCCCCTCATCTCTAAAATGGCAATAAGAGGGCGCCTGGGTGGCTCAGTTGGTTAAGCGACTGCTTTCGGCTCAGGTCATGATCCTGGAGTCTCAGGATCGAGTCCCGCATCAGGCTCCCTGCTCAGCAGGGAGTCTGCTTCTCCCTCTGACCTTTCCCCCTCTCATGTGCTCTCTCTCTCTCTCTCTCTCATTCTCTCTCTCTCAAATAAATAAATAAATAAAATCTTTTTAAAAAATGGCAATAAGAACCCCTATCTCATAGGCTCATTATAAGGATGAAATGAAACAATGGTTAGAAGGAATTCAGCACAGTAAATGGTAACCAGAAGTAGAGTAGTAGTTTTACCTGTGACCGCACAGCCTTGGGTCTTCAAACTCTTCAGCTGGCCCTCACCAAGCAAAGTTATTCCTACAATCCAGGAGGTGAGATGTTTGATATTCTTTGTCTTGGTCACTAGCACCATGCTACATATAAAAGAGTATTTTTCCAAAGTATCATTGCATTAGTGAACATACTGATCCCTAGAGGAAAAAGTAAGGTACTGGACTGAATTGCCAAATTCATGAAAGTGATGATCTCACTGGGGTTCCTATTACAATTTCTTCCCCTTTCCATTCTCTTGGAAAATGTATAGTCAATTAACATAAACAGCCAAAGGGGGGCGGATGTATTTAAAAACAAACAGGGGTAAGGGCGCCTGGGTGGCTCGGTCAGTTTAGCGGCTGCCTTCGGCTCAGGTCATGATCCCAGGGTCCTGGGATCGAGCCCCGCTTGGGGTCCCTGCTCGGCGGGAAGCCTGCTTCTCCCTCTCCCACTCCCCCTGCTTGTGTTCCCTCTCTCGCTGTGTCTCTCTCTGTCAAATAAATAAATAAAATCTTAAAAAACTTTAAAAACAAACAAACAATAGCTGCTCTAAACTATTTGGGGCAGAGAAGGGTTGTAGCTTCTGATCACATTTTATTTTAACAGCCCAAACTTTTATCAAGAGAATTGCTGGACCTCGTGGCTTCACATTTCAACCTGAAAGAAAAGGAGTACTTTGGAATAACATTTACAGACGACATGTGAGTGTTTTAATCATTTTCATTTGTTTACCTTTCGTGGGGACTCCCTGCTCACTGTCATTCACAATCTGCAGAAAATGACATAAATACTCCAAGAATTAGAATATGTCCTGCTTAGTTAAAGATTATCTAATACAAGATTTCTCTCCTCGGACTATTGCAAAGGGAGAAGAAAGGGAATACTGATCATTTTTAAACATCAAAATATTGCCCTAATGTTTTAGAAATTTGTTATAATGAGGTTGTTATTCTTGAGAGTCTTTCTGCACATTTTTTATACTGTAGTTATGTATCAGTGATAGAAATACTCAGTCGTTATTCACTAATATATTGAAACAAGAATTAATGTTTTGGGTGTTGGTGGCAAGACAGTTTAAAGGCAAATGTATGGCCCACCTGGAAAATATGTTTATAGTTTTAATACAGAATGAATTTTTCCACTTCTCCCTAGGTCATTTTATGTTACCTCTTTACTATCTTTTTTTTCTTCTACTTACATTTTTTATGCTAACTTGGACATGGTATATATTTATCAATGATTTAAATGCTTTCTAAGATGAAGCATGTGTATAACAATAAAATCATAAGAAGTTAAAACTCCATGTAAAAAAATGTGTTGGTCTTACCAGTTCTTTCCTCTGTGTGTGTGTGTGTGTGTGTGTGTTATGACAGTCCAATTTGCCTATGTTATTTGCAACCTGGTAGATTATCAGAAGAATTTTTCCCCTTTGTGGGGATAATATCCAAAGAGTTCTTCAAATATTAAAATTCAAGAAAATGCATTCCAGACACGAAATATATTGGCCAACTGCCCAGCATTCTTTCTATAACTCTCCCAGTGTAAATGTCTTTTCAGTTCTTTAGTTTAACCAGGCAGAAAATAATCTCAAGAAGGGGTTAATTTTTTTTAACACCTTGCTTCTGATTATTTCTAGCCTGAGTGGACCACAAGCCTAGGACCTCCCCCACCTCCCACCACCCCACCCCACCCCACCCCAGGCTCAGGATATGGGCTGGGCAAAACCAGGCAACCACTTGTCAGGAGACAGAAAAACCTGAAAACTTTGATCCCAGACCCAAGATGCTTCCTGAATCGGAAGTACACTAGACAAAAAGTACACTAGACATCACCCACCTCACTCTGATTCACAAAATTATCAGTTCACCCAACTATTTGAGACCCTATATGATCAGTCCTCTGCTGGATGAAATAGGAAATGCAGACATCCATTGACCACATGCTCTTAGCTGGAAAGACAAGGCTAGTTCATGTAAATTAGTGATTAAACACACACACACAGGTTGAAAGTGATTGTGCATGCAATAATTGCAAATAATATAAGACATGAAACCTAAAAGCTATGTGGTTGAACTGTAAGTGTTATAAACACTGTAATTTAGAGAGGTTACATAGAATAGAGGCAAAAAGCATGAATATTAATTTATTCATTCAACAAATATTTCTTGAGTGCTTACATTGTTCTAGGTCCTAGAGATTTAGTTGTGCATGACAGAGACAAGGTTCTTGTTTTCATGGAGCTTTTGTTGCAATGGTATGGTCTAGCAGAACAAGTAAACAAATAGATAAATGAGAAATTACTTGAAATGATAAGTGCTTAGAAGAACATCATCATGGCCATGATGAAGAGAAGTTGGGGGGCAGTGTTAGATTGGGTGGAGGAGGAAGGCTTCTAGGAGGAGACATGTAATAAAAAGCAAGACCCAGTTCGGCAAAAGTAGAGGGAGACATTCCAGACAAAAGCCAGGGTGAAAGCCTTGAGGTGAGACGGAGCTTGACTTTTGGGTTTTTTTATTTTGTATTTTTGAGAAAGAAAAAGATCCAATATGACTGGAATATAGAGAGTAAGAAGGAAAGTGGCACAAGTTAAGGGTTCAGAGGGAGGCAGGGAGTGGATATTACAGAATTGTGGTAGCTATGAGATTTTAGACCAGTTACTTAACATCTCTGACACTCCAGTGTTCTCTTTGGTACATTGGGCATAATAACGGTACTTATATATAATAAGGACTACATAAGACACATGTAATAGGTTGCTAGGATTATGTACTGTCAAGTCAGGTAAGATATGCCCAGCTCATAGCACAGGCACACACTGAAAGGAAGCTCTCATGCTGCTCTTGGTACGGTAATAAGTTCAGTGTCCAGAAGGGGGCTAAAGGATGACTAGAGTGAAATTCACTCAAGAGGATAACTACAAATGGACAACGCAGGGCAGGTAGACTTTAGGTGGAAGGAAGAGGAATGGAAGATGACATCCCAGGGAAGACTCATTTTGTGGCCCCGTGTGTGAGCATGGAGATGAATATGGTGCATTTGCCCAGTGGTGAGGAGCCTGGCCTGACGGTGGGGCAAGATGTAAGGGGGACAAGATCATAGGTGAGTCCTGTGTACCACATAGATGGGAGAGGCACCCTCCCCAGGCCACTGTAGAATGTTTGCACAGGAATTACATGATTTATGACTGGTGTTGCAAGTTCCCCAGGCCACAAGGTTCATGATGGGCTGGAAAAGGGGTTCCTGGCCACGTGGATGGCTTCTGGGAAAATTCCCAGTTCAGGTGAGCATAATCAAACAGTGCATAAATCAGTCGTTCAGCTGTAAGATCTTCTCTTCAGAAAGAAAAGGAATAATATGAATGACTTCCTTTAATGCCTTGAGCCACCTTCCCCCCCTCTTCTGCTCTGGGATTTCTTTCTAAATCCTCTACTGGGAGAAGAATGTCTCACTCAAGCGTCTCCTCCAGCTATCTCGTTTGGCGACAGTGGTTGATGGTTATAGTCTTTCCAAGAAGCCTGGCTCCAAACTGTCCTCTGTGTACTCCCCTGCAAGTGACAGCAGAGTCTATTTTTGAATTATGACCAGTTTGAAAGGTGTCTTCTGGCTGTAACTGTGTTTATTTTCAGAAGAAGTAGGAGCTGGGCTTTGGGAGGGGGGAGGGAGGATTTGGCCATTTCCACCTTTCTGGGGAACAGGTCTGGAAAATTGCTTCTGTCTAAGGGTGTCTCCTTGGAATGTCTTGGTCACAAGCCTAGCTCTTTTTCTTTGTCTGGTAAATATTTTTGGAAAGTATTTTCTTTCAGCACTCCCTTTCTCCCGCCCCCCATAAAACCACTAAGTCGGATCCCTCCCAGGATGCTGTCTGAATTGAATTTCCAACTTAGATGCCACATCAGCTGTCTGCCTTTGGTGAAATTCTCTCAACAGAGTAAGGCAAAGCTGAGGGGGACATTTTGTCAAGGAAACTAGCTACTGTCAATGCCCCCATACACAGGCCAAGAAGAGAAATGGAAAAAATGAATTGCACCATTACATAAGAAAAGTAGTGGTGGTGACCAACAAAAATAAATCCATGTTCCTATTGGAGGGTGGGGTAGAGTTCCTTGAGATTACACTTGGAAGTACCTCCTGGTGATCTGTGTGCAGAGGCAGTTTTTCACCTCCAGAGGGCAGTCTCGCCCTCCGGAGGCAGCAGCCCTGAAGTTCACCAAAATGATTCCCATCCCCTTAAACCCACTTCATTTTTTTTTAAATTCCCTTGTTTTGAAAGGCTTTGCTGAATAAGCTTTGTTTATAAAGAAATAACAGTTTTCACAACACAATGGTGGCTTTTGATCACCATCCCATTCGCTGGGTGTGAGCTGATGGGATTTTGACTGATACATTCTAAGCCAAAAAAAATCTTGCTTTAGGGTTGAGCTGCAAGCTTGATAGAGGTGACTGTGTAGCATCAGCTGTCTTTTTTTGAGATACTGATTAGATCTAGTATATTTGCTGATGGAAAAACCTGAGAAAAGCAGGTTATAAGCAATAAGTGCTTTCTGATCTCATTTTACTATAAAACAACATGTTAACCTTATTTATATCTCAGTGATAGAATTACGGGTAATTTTCAAATTTTTGTTCTTTTAATTTTATCTTGTTGGTGAGATTATGGATGGGTTTTTTTAAGTTTATTATTATTATTTTAGCAATGTCTACACCTAATGTGGGGTTCTAACTCATGACCACAAGATCAAGAGTCACACGCTCTTCTGACTGAGTCAGCTTAGGCACACCTGAATGGATTTTAAAAATCTAATTTCTAATTTATCCTTTTTAAAAAAATATTTTTATGGTACATATACATGTCTTTTTATTAAAAAAAACATTTAATATCATAATTGAAGCCAATCCCTTTTGATTACCTCCCCACTCCAAATGTTGCAATTTGCTCTATACCTCTCCAAAACTGTAAGAATTTCATCCATATATAATAGTGTTTTCAGTGCGCTTCTTTGGTTAATATAATTGATTTATTCAGTATATGTTATTATACAACTTGTTTTATTCATTTTTGGACATCATTCCATGCAAGTTCACGTAAATATACATTGTGCTCTTGTAATAATGCCGTATCTTTCCTATGTAAAAGCAAGAAGAACAATTCCAAATTAGTCTCATTTTCCCTAAGAAACCATTAAGACCTGATACTATACACTATTTTATGTACTTTAAGACACATATTTGAATATGTCTGAAATTGGCATATGTCTTTAAATCAGCGATTCTAAACTGGATGAAATACAGTGGAAGAGTCCCCTACCTTCTAGCCCCCTATCTTTATATATATATTTTTAAACAAGCAGTGTTTCTAAGAACGTCCCCTTATATCATTTATATCAGCTTATTTATCTTTATAATATTCCTCCTAGGAAAGCTAGGGACAATTACCGGAAGCCTCATCTTATAACTGCAGAAACAAAGACACACTTCTTCCGGTGTTGAGACTAGTAAGTGACAGAGATCAGCCAAAAGTTATAAAAGCTGATTCAACTTTTTAGTCTCCTATATACCAAAGTCCTGTAGTGCAAGTCCTGGGCTCAAATCTTGGCTCTGCCAATTTTTTTGCAAGCTTGTTGTAAAATACAGCCTTAATACATAAAAACTTCCAGGTCGGTGGGCACAGAGTAGCTGTTACCATTATGAGTAGCTGTTACTATTAATGATTATTACTATTACTCTTGTAATTGTTTATGTCCACTTTTCCTATCTACTTATAATGAATGCAGCTTAGAGATTTCTGAGTTTTTTTAATTATTTATTCAAAGACCAAAAAGGGTTGGAAAATATCTTCTGGCCCATTATAGGTTTTGTTATAATTCGACATCCCACCACCATTTGCATGTTTTTAAGCTTTATATAAGCAAGCAAAATGGAGTCTATGCCTTCTGGGAATATACAGTCTAAAACGGACCAACTGGTTGGACGGCTTTGGAAAAGACCTGGAAACAATTCCAAGCCACAGTGTCATCCTTTGGATCTCTCAGAGGTCAAAATTTAAGGAGAACTGTTTATATTCATGAATTTTACTGAGGCTCTTGAGTAAATAAACAAATACATACTCAAATATTAGGAAGTCCATAATATAGAAACAGCACTCAGAGAATATGTAAGCCCATACTTTTTAGAAAAGCTGTATTACTGTTCTTTGTGTCTGTCTGATTTCATGAAACCAGGAATTTTCCCCTTCTTGACTATCTAAAATATTTCAGATACCACATTTAATAAGAATTTAAAGATTCATATATTAAGTTTCACCTATTTTTTTACCTCCAAAGGTACCAGGTGGTATCAGTTTCTTGTTTATCCTCTGAGAGATATTTTATTTGTGTGTGTGTGTGTGTGTGTATTTTTAAATTTTAAAATGGCTATATACTGTACTCACGGTTATGCCCCTTGTTTTTCCATTTAACGTCATGTCTTGGAAATTGCTCAAAATAAGTTTGTAAAGATACTCTCCATCTTTTGTATGGCTCTCTTGTATGTTATTGCTCAGTTTAAATTAATTTTTAAACAACACCTTGCTGGACCTCTATAGGTTGTTTTGAGCCTCTTTGCTGTTATAACCAATGCTACAGTAAGGGACTTTATACATGGGCCATTTTTCACATGTAAAAGTTTACCTTGATAAATTCTTGGAAATCAACAGTCTGGTTCAGAGGCAGATGCTTTTATAACTTTGATAGTAATTGCTAAATTAACCTCGTTACCAGTTGTAACAGGTTATACGCCTACGGTCCATGTATGACAGTAACTGTCTCCCCAACATTGTGTGTTTTGAACCCTTCTCTGACCTTTTGTTTAATCCTTTTTCTTTGCTTTGCCCTCACAGAGGTCAGCAGAACTGGCTACAGTTAGATCACCGAGTTCTTGACCATGATCTGCCGAAGAAACCAGGTGCCACCATTTTGCACTTTGCTGTGAGGTATGTATCCATAGAAACATCCAGCATTCCCACCTCCCTTTAAAAAAAAAAAAATTCTGGTGATCAGATAGAGAATAAAAAAAGAACAGACCTATCAAAACATTATTGTGTGAAAAAGATTCTCTACTGTCTTAGTCTGGAAACGAAGTTGCCATAGATACTGTGTAGAACTGTTTTCTTTGAAGATGAAGGATAGGATCACCTTCCTTTATTCCTCAAAGTTCTTTGGATCCATTTAAAGCTGGAAAACATAGGTACTTTGTTTTAATACCTAAGGCTGTTTTCAACTCAGCATACTTTAGGATTTTTATAATTTGAAATATGGCAAACATTTACTGTTACATGTTATGAACATTTCCTAGAGACTGGCAAGAATTGAATTTTATACAATTTCACGCCTTCGTTTGAATAGAAGATAAAATGCAAACAAATGCTCATGGAAAGAATTATCTTAACAGTGCAGAAATCTGAATTCAGCTTGCAGTCAGAGAGATTGCTGAGAAGGATGTAAGGAGTCCTTGACTTGTTCCCTGGCTCTGCTTGGGCAGGTCACTTACCCATTCCTAGGGGCCTCCATACATACTTTCTCTGGAAATGGAGGCATTCAACTCAGTAATTTCTTAAAGCCATGATAGGAATAGTTTTCCACATGAAATATTCACACTCTAAAATAAATAAAATGTTATGAAAAGTAACACCTGTGTTCCTGTACCTAGCTTGAGAAGTAAAACATTCCCAATTTTGCTGAAAGCCCCTTTCTGTGAACTAGCAGCTCTTTCCCCTCTACCTGAATTTGATGATAAATTTCATAAGTTGTTTTCCTTGTCTGAAGCCAAATCTGATAAAATAAGCTAAGGTCATAGATTTTCCATGAATCCAAATAAGTTTTCATAAAGCTAGATCAACCTAAAGAATGTCTCTGTATTCTGAGCTTTTGTTATTTTTTGGATATTGAAATATGCTTTGTTTGAGGCGCCTGGCTAGCTCAGTTGGTAGAGCATGCAACTCTTGATCCCTGGGTTGTGACGTGTTTGACAGTTGGACAGTTTAGTTCAGAGGCACATGCTTTTATAATTTTGATAGCTTACTTAAAAAAAAAGAAAGAAAGAAAAGAAAGGGAAGAAAGGGAGAAAGAAGGAAGGAAGGAAGAAAGAAAAGAAAGAAAGAAAGAAAGAAAGAAAGAAAGAAAGAAAGAAAGAAAGAAAGAGAAAGAAAGGGAGGGAAGGAGGGAGGGAAGGATGGAGGAAGGAAGGAAGAAAAATGATTTGTTTTATGACATAGTAGTGGAAGCTTATTATGATTACCTGGCAAAATCATATTGATTTACACAATTTTTTTTTTTTTACTTCATTTACTTCAGTCTGCTCCATGAAACCCAAAAGTATGGTAATAAGATGTCCTACCTTTTTTTATATAAATTGTGATTGTTGATGGTAGCTGCTCCTAACTCAGGAAATAAAGTATTGACAATCCCCATTTTTTTTTTTTTTTTTTGCTTTTTGCTTTGGTATCTGGCTTAGAATTTCTTTCATACCACCAGACATGTTTTTGAAACCCAGGAAGGAGGTAGCATAAATGGTGATTTGTCCAGGAGCATAGCTGGTGTAGAGAATTGCATGGAAATCCTAAAGAAAAACATAGGAGTTTCCTGGAAAGAGTATGACATGAGTGCTTGTGTTCATGGAAATGGGAGGAAAAGACAAACACAAACTAACAAGCAGTAGGAAAAAGTGCATATTAGTCATTAAGCAGGGGTCAGATCATACAGAAATTTTAATCTTGTGTGTGAAAAATGGCTCAACATACGTCAATAAATTTTTTCACAAAAGATTATATTTTCACTATAAACATTTCAAATTATATGAACTTACTCTCCCCAGCCTTCCTCCCTCCCCTCCACCCCTGACACCCTTCCCTTCTCAGAGAAAAATAAGGATGACGTGTTGCTTGGTGACTGACTTTGTTTTTACCTGGAGATTTCTCCTTGTGTCTGTGAAAATCCACTTTGTTTACACTTTCATAATTTAGGGGTCCAGTCTCCTATGAAGCACTTAGGCTGTTTCCAATTATGTATGCTTTAATGCAGGCTGTGGTTAAGATCCTTGCATTTTCATCTTTGCACACACGTGTGTTATCTAAGCGGCATAACTAGTCAGCAAAATCCTGTGTTTGGAGAATTTGAACAAGTACCATTTATTTAGTCATCTGATTGTTAACTCCTCTGACAGCTGATATCTGGTTTAGTTTTGGTCTCAAAAATACCAGGGGGAGAAAACTCTATCTTCCCTTCTATTCAGTCATTCCTAAGGTGGCCGTATCTTCTGGAAGCAGGTTGCTGAGATGCCCGAGCAGCCTGCTACTTGTTCCCGTGAGTTTCAGCACTTACTTGAGCATTATCTCGAGAGTGTCCCATAATCACATGGCATGACTTTCCCTTGACTCCTTGCGTGTTTAAAACCCTTATCGAGTTCTTAATTATTCACTTAATTTTTCCTCCCAACAGTAGAGTGAGATCATAATAATCTTTGTTATTATTCCAATTAAGTACTTGTTGTTACTCCAGCTTAATTAAAGAGATGATAAAGCAAAAGCACGCAAAGAATTAAGTGAACTGATGGAGGTCGCTCAGTGGAATGTTGTTCTTTGGAGGGCTTCCGAAGGGGGTTAGAGGAACCCCTGTGAAGTCTGGTGCCTCTCAGAGGGGCTCTAGCCTCTTCTTTGAGAGAACAGAACTGTTGGTGAGACTTACATACCCATAGACACCACCAACAACCCTTTTAGTCATTGAAGAATAGAACCAAAGACAGCTTTTGATTCTATTTGGGTATTGGTCACTACAGGAGCCTCCAGAAATACACCAGACCCCTTTTTTTTTTCTTTTCAAATGAAGTATAATTGACACATGCTGTTACATTAGTTGCAAGCGTACAACAGAGTGATTTGAGGAGCCTGTACGTTACCCTGTGCTCACCACAAATGTAGCTATCCTGTCACTGCACAACACTCTTACAGTCCCATCGGCTGCAGACCTATTCTGCACCTTTCATCCCTGTAACTTCTTCATTCCGTGACTGGAAGCAGTCACCCAGGTGCAATCATGAAGTAGTGAATGCACAATGACAAAGGATTCCCCACAGTGGTAGCACATTACAAGGATATGCATCACGGTGATTTTCATTGCAAACAGTTAGAAATATCCAAATGCCGACAATGAAGATGTAAGTGATGGCATTCGTACAGTGAACAATTGGTCACTTTAATAAAAGAGATTAGTTTTTTTTTTAAGTACATTGCATTTCAATGTTTCCCCACAGAGAGAGGGGGTGCGTATCTGAATCATCCTAGGAATTTTTCAAACTAGACAATCATACCCCTCCAAGCCCCAAATCCCCCACATTCCTGGCCCAGATTCTGATCCGGTGCGCTAGAGATGGTAAATGCGGTCTTGTTCAAGTTGGTTGTGACAAATAAAGAGACATCAGGATAGAAAGTGTGTTTGCAAAATGCTATAAAAATATAAGAAAATACAATTTTTTAAAAAAATTGTAGTGTTTATGAAAAAGAAAAAACCATTCACTTTTGCTCTCAAGAAGTTCTCTCTCTACGGATATGTAGCATTAACCCTGTGGTAGGCACTGGGCTAAATATTTGACGTGCATTGTCTCAGTGAGTCCTGAGCTAAACACTGGAGTCCTGCAGATCTGGGAGAGGGGGTGACTTTCTCTTGGTTAATTCCCCTCAGGGCGCAGGGAGCAGCTCAGAAACATAGGCAGCTTCTGCATGCAAGAAAACCCTGAAGCTGAAGGGCGCTTAGCGTTCCCTTTATGAACTTCAGGATTAAACCTTTGTCTTCAGTTACAAAAGCTCAATGATAACATGCTAAATATGCATGTGGCACCTGGGTATATAGACGCCCCATAATTTATTTATGCACCATAATTCATTGAGCCAATTCTCCATTTCCGTGTGAGTCCAAACTCCCCCAGGTTGCTGGGGGACTTCTCCGGGCTGGGGGGTTGTTATTTGCTGCTGTAAATTATCTTCTGCAAACACATGGGCCTCTTTGGTAATGCAGCCCAGATGTGAGCATTGGAAAAGCTTGATAGTGAGTGAGCACGCAAGCATTTAAATCAGAGAGCAGGGCCTTGGCGTGACCTCACTGGAAAAGCTCCCATTCCCTTATGGGAGGGCAGGCGGAGGTGGCTCAGGCTGGTACCACCCAGCTCCACACCAAGCAGCATCTCAATGTCTTTTACTCCCTTCTTCTGACTACTTTTTGCTCCCCCCTCCTCCTCCCCTTCTGGTCTTCCCTCTCCTGCCCCTTTTCCTCCTCCTCAAGCCCCTTCTGCTGTGCCCTAGGACTGTAAGGGACCACTCAGAGGTACCCCTAAAGTATCATCGTCTGTGACACTCAGGGCTGAGAACTCCCTGCATTACTTGGAGAGTTCTAGTAGAAATGTGAGGGATATAAGCCCTTAACTGCTACCTTTCTGCCAAAGTTGTTGCAAACCTAGAGCCTTTGAAAAACTCTGAGAGTGCTCTCAGCACCTCCTGTCCTGGTTCTGGAACACTCAGCCTTTAAAAAGCGTTAAACTCAAGGAAGCGTCATGACTGTAACCTGTGGGTCCCCATCATTCCACCTGACTTTTTTTCTTTTTTTAAGAACGCCAAATATATGCAATACAACACAACAGGTAAAAACAAACAAAGACTCTGGTGAAAAACAAGATTTGTTCATATGGAAAGATGCCCCCGATATATTCAAGCAGACCACAAAGCATGTGTGACATGATTACACTGAAACGTGAAATACATGAGTAGGGAGAAAGTTTAAAATGTTAAGAGTAGTTTATCTCTGGATAGAATGATTCTGGGAATGGTGGGTTTTTTTTGTCTTTTTGTTAATCTATATGTATATATTTTTTTCCCGATAATGAACATATTACTTAAGCATTTTTTTAATGCAAACAGCAGTTAGTCTCTGGGTGGAATGATTATGG